TTAAGAGTTATAAGGGACGGACAACAGAAAAGTGGGTGAAGGGAGACGTCAGGCAGGACAAGATATGACACAATAGTAATTTATAAATTATCAAGGGTTCATGAGGAAGGGGAAAAAATGAGGAGCTGATACCAAGGGCTTAAGTGGAGTGCAAATGTTTTGAGAATGATGAGGGCAACGAATGTACAAATGTGCTTTACACAATTGATGTATGGATTGTGATAAGAGTTGCGTGAGTCCCTATTAAAATGATTTTTTAAGAGTTTTAAGGGCCCCCAATAAAACAATTTATTTAAAAAGAAAAACCCCGAATAGAATGGATCTTAGATATATATATATATATTGAACTGTCTCCCATAAAAAGATCTGGAACAATGTAATTTGAGCTACGAGGGTAGCCTTGGAGGCTTCTGCCCGTTTCTCCCATGCTGCCACTGCCTGGGAGTCGTTTGGTGCCCAGCCCATTTGTCTAAGCATCACAGGGTAGTGTCATATTGGAGGATAGCTCTTAGTAAATGCATAGTGATACACTACAGGCTTGCCGTTAGCAGACTATCTGGGGCCAACCACTATCGTATCTCCCTAAGTAAAACTGCTCCTCTTTTTGTTTTTTTAACTGCTCTTGGTTTTATTCAATAATAAAATGGCATCACTGGGCTGTTAAGGTTTTCTACGAATTCTGCAAAATCATGGCCCTATATCCGAGAGATTTGACTATTTGAAGTGCTTGGAACAGTACCTGGCTTAAACACAGAGGACACCTTTGATGTGGTTACTCTAAGGATGTTCGAGAGAGATTCTACCTATTTAACAAAAGGCAACGAAAACGACCTCATCACCTCCTCGCCAGTTCTCTGGCACAGGTGAGAACAGGTGCAGGGAGCCTGAGGCTGGCATGTAGCACAAAGCTGTATTTTTCTCACTGGGTAGCTGACAACAATGTTGCCACATGCACTGACACCCACTGAAAGTGTGTCTTCCTTTTTCTGCCCGCTTCTGGGTAGCCTGAACCTCTAGTCTCCTCTCAGTTCAAATGCCTCCTAACCCGCACACCACAAAAATGCACACAAACACCCCCCCCCCAAACTCCCTGCCATTAATCAAGTCCAATTCAGAGACTCCATAGGGCAGCGGTTCTCAATCTGTGGGTCGTGACCCCTTTGGGGGTCGAACAACCCTTTCACAGGGGTCGCCTGATTCTTAGCAGTAGCAAAATTACAATGATGAAGTAGCAACAAAAATAACTTAATGGTTGGGGGGTCACCACAACATGAGGAACTGTATGAAAGGGTCGTGTCTGTGGCATGAGGAAGGTTGAGAACCACTGCATGACAGTATAGGGCATGAAAGAAATGTCGCTGGGAGTTTCCAAGACTGCAATTCTTTACGGGCATACAAAGCCTCGGTGGGCTCCTGCTGAGCAGCTGGCTGCTGCGTAGGGATTCGAAGCTCTAGTGTACCCCCTATGCCACCTGGGTTGAGAATGCCTCCAAGTCTCCTAGTAGGCTTTGCTGAAGCGGCCCCTGATCCTCATGCTCTGACCAAGGGATGGGTCCTAGGAATCTAGAGGGCGCTTTTACACAGCCCCTGCTGTCCAGCCAGGTCTGGGCAACCCTAGTGACATGGAAAGCCCAAGATGCACATTCAAAGCATGGCTCTGCCCTTGCTGTGGCTGCAGACTGCTGTGGAGTTATGACCTCAACTCATGGGCACGCGAGAAGCTGCCGGTCCTGCTCAAGCCCCACCTTCAGCTGCAGATGCCATCTATAGGGTTTTCACTGGCCGGTTTTTGGAGGAAGGTTGCCAGGTCTTTCTTCCTCATGTCTTCTCTGGAAATGCCACTGAAACATCACAACACACAATCCGCTAAGGACAGATGGGTGGGTGCACAAGAGGTGTATTCACTGCCTCCAGGCCGAGGACTCTATGAACTAACTCACCGCCAGGCCTCTGCCTTCACTAGACAAAGAGGAGATACACACGCTTTCTAGGGCAGAACTGTTGAAGATAATGCTGTTAGGTGCTGTCCAGTCAGTTCTGACTCAGAGCGGCCCCATCCATGTACAAGAGAACAAAACCTTGCCCGGCCCTGTGCCACCCTCAGTTGTTACCTTTGCGCCCATTGTTGCATTTCTTGGCTGCCACTTTTCTCCACCTGCCCTGATGTTGTCTATTGGGTCAGTTGTAAGGACTTGGATCAGTTCCTTTATTGTCCAGCTCTCACGTGCACAGGAAGCTATTGAACCTGCCATGACTACAGCAGCACACTTAGGTCCTCCACATGGCATCCTTGCTCTTTAATACTGAAGATTTGCCCCAGGGCAACATACGCTGTTTGGTTTTTCTTGACGGCTGCTTCCAGGGGCAGTGATGGAGGGTCCATGCAAAATGAAACCCTCGACAGCTTCCATCTGTTCTCCGTTGTTGCTGACTTTATGGATGGCCTGTCCAGATTTGACTTATGGATGCGGACTTCACAAGGTTCCAATTGGAATGAAGACTCTTCATGTGGAAAAATAGGATTGTCTTCTCAGAGAACTGGGTTGATGTAAGCGGACAGTATAGAAATTGGATACCCAAAATTGGGGGAGATAAAGGCATGAAGTGGTTGGCTTACAAACTTTCATAGGTAGGGGAAAAAATTCACAGTATTATAGGGTTAAGGTATAGGTGTTACTTAATTGCAATTGTGAAGCTAAGAATTATATACAGGTGACAGGTTGGCAAGTGGTGGGGATTGAGTTAGTTAATTGTGCCAACCTGGCCAATAAAACAAGTAGGGTTAATTGAAGGGCGGAGGGATAAATGGCTTGGTGGGCCTTGCCTTTGTAGTTCTTGGGTCTCTTGCTTTGTGGTCGCACCAAGGTGCAGCTGTCTAAGCAGTTCCCTGCTCCAGCTTGCAAGGCTGGCTTCCTGCAAGACAACCCCAAGAAGCCACATGCAGCCCTGGGTGCTGAAGCAGCCGTGTGGACACCCCTGCTAGCGCTGAGATGCTTACACGATTACTGACTCTGCTTTCCTCCTGAAGTCGTCATTGTTGCCTCTGCTTTGTGAGATACAGGAGGACTTTGTGGACTGGTGTTGGACATATGGGTTAATGTTGGACTAGTGGGCTTGGGCAGCACTGGGTTGGGATATTTTCTTGATGCGCACTTAACCTTTACATAAAACTCTCTTATACATGAGTTGATGTGGATTTGTTTCTCCAAAGTGCCCAGACTAACACAACGTTGTAAGGAGGGATAAAGTACAGAGCACCCCCACCCCCACCCCTCCCCCATGAACATTCCAGTCAGGAGAAGGACATCATGTTGGTCAGGTTACAGCCTGATGATGCCTCCTGGTGGGCATGGCCTTCTCATGATGACTCTGGGAACTTCCTCTCCTTCTCCCTGGAGGCAGGACACACACTCTCTGCTCCACCCTTCTGTTATGGAGACCTGCACCAGCGTTGGGGTGCTTCCACTGTCAATGGATCTACAAGCCTTTCTGCCCACCAGCCTGTGATCTTCCTGTATTCAGCATTACTGCATGTGCTGTGTGAGTCTAAAGAGGAATTTATGGACTAGTATCGGACATATGGGCTAATATCGGACTTATGCATTTGATCTGGACTGGGCTGGGCTGTTTTCTCAATAAACCATTGCTCTTTGATATAAGTTCTCTCTTACACATACTTGAGTTCTCTCTTACACATACATGATTTGTTTCTCTAGTCAACCCAGTCTAACACAAGTGGTAAACAGTTTCTTCATATACCATATTTTTATGTTCTTAATAAAAATAAACTGCATGGTAAAAATAGTCACCAGCCAATGCTTTCTGAAAACGTAATATTTGACAAGCACTACATCGTGGCTATAAAGTCAATACAAATAGACAATTGTTCTCTGAGTTGTATCTACAAAAATGATTCCAATTGGCTGAGCATTTTAATACCTGCATGTTTAAAGCAGGAACTGATGCAAAGAAATGCAAAGTAAATTCAAAATGTGCTTTATGTAAACATTTTCCCCAAAGACAAAACAGAACAAAGGCAAAGGTAATCACTCAGGCAGCACAGAGACTCACTGACAAGCGGCACTGTTGAAAATTACTTTGGCGACATCTATAGCGCACATTACAAGGCTCTTAGTAAAGTTTCACTTCAAATTCTGAGATCTCATTTTGAATCACCATTCTTGAATTCCCCAGTTGGAAAATACAACCGCAATTTTCAGTAACATTTAGTTTATTATTCCAGTGGAAATTAAAAAACAAAACAATACCATTTTGAGGTCTGTTTCCAATTTTAGCTTCAAAATAAACTGATCCAAAACGTCATCTTTAATGGCCATGGCGCTCATGAATAAGTGTGTAAGAATATAAAAGATGAACTCATCTTTTGGCAGGACTCCAAATGCAATCCCTAAGGTTCTTTCCTGTCCACAGCATAGTGCAAACAAAGTGTGCTCAATTTAAACACAAGTGTGCTGACAGAATGTAGTCCATCACTTCTGGTGCTCATGAGCAGCATGTCAAAGAGAATCCAGTTCTTGTTCTCTTGAACGCTGATTCCGCCATGCTGGCACAGGCCAAACACCACAAGAGCACATGCAAAGAGATTCTTTGAAAGGAGCTCACGGCCAAGATCCACAGCTAGCAACCATTCACGAGTTAAGTTTTACGTCCACGTGCTCAGACGTCACAGTCGTGAGAAATGCTTCTTTGTAAAGAGCCATTAAAATGTACAGTTTTGTGGAATCCTTATTTCTGGAGCCCCAAATCAAGTTAAATAAAATGCTAGGCTTCCTAGAATATTAAATACCATGCAGCACAGTATTGAAAAAAAAAAAAGACTGGCTAAAATAACTTTACAAGTATAATTTACTCATATTGTTTTTCTATGCTGTTAAAAATATATTAAGATCAATTGAAATTAAATTACATAATTTGAAATGATGCTAAAATGCCAACAAAAATGTAACTATCTGTAGGTCAATTAAGCCAGGCCCCCCCCCCCCCCCGTAAACGAGGGGTGGGTGGTGTTTTGTCAACTATCACCCTGTGTGAATGGACATGAGCCTGGGGGCTCTCACTGCCCAGAGCCCCAGGATAAAGCTCACTCCATATGTATCTGGAGATTTTGCAAAGTGTATACCAGACTTTCCTACACAAGGCAGAGTCCCAAGATCCAGTCAGGGAGACCTATCAAACTGGAAGATTCCATACGTGCCCGTGGTAAGCCAGCCAGGGTCGGAGGCTGTGAGCGCTTCCCCTTGCCCTGGCTGCAGGCCAACCTGAACCTCAGCTTTTAAGGTCCGCACACTGCAGAGAGGCGCGGGGTGGAAGCCTTTGAGAGCCTGGTGGAATGGGGTGGTAAATGCCCATTTTCTGTCCCCCGTCAACTTCCTGTAATTCAAATCGCCCTTGAAGAGAATTAAATCTGCCTTCTGGAGGTCTGCATATAGGTCCGGGGCGACCTGAGCCATGGCGCAGTATTCATGAGGCAGCGTCCAAAACAGGTGGTCCTGGTAGACCCAACTGCCTGTCTTCACATGACTTTCCCAGGCAGCCCCGCACTGGGCCGTCCACTGATGAGCAGAGTGCTTGACTTGCGCGACTAGCCAGTGAAAATCATGGAGGGTGGTATCAGACACAAACCAAGGGATCGTTTTCCCGTAAAAATGGATCTCAGTAGCCAGTTTAGAGGACAACAGGAAGTCAGCTAGAACTAGATCGGTAATAAGTTCAAACCCAGAATTATCCAGAACAATGTCCACCCTCACGGATGCTTTTTCTCTTGTTTTCTTGTGATTGCTAAGCAATGACCACAGCTGCTCCATGTCGTTCACCAAGATGAAGGGTTTGAGGTCTTCCAGGGAATCCAGGACACTCCTCTTCGGAGCACTGCTTTCCCCTCCCGACAGCGAAAGATCGCACTTGTTCCCCCACAGAGAAACCTGGAAAACGAAGCAGGTGAGGCAGTCACCTTTCTGAGTAACTAACAAAACCTCTCTGTGGTATGGAATGCTAACAGAGCTGTCAGAGCCCCCAATAAAATGATTTTTTTTAAACCCTGTTAAGTGAGGGGTGGAGGTGGAGCTAAAAATATTCATAAGCTAAACTGGCGACCCAAATCCCATCTGCAGACAATTGAACATCCCCTCACAGAGGGGTCACAGAGAAGAGATGAGCCAGTCAGGGTGCAGCACAGCACCAATGAAACACACTTTCCTCTAGTTCTTTGGTGCTTCCTTCCCCCGACTATCATGACCTCAATTCTACCTTACAAATCAGAATAGACCAGAGCATGCACACTGCTACAGAAAAGAGCCCACAACACAGGGAATCCAAGATAGATAAACCCCTCAGAGCCAACAAGGAGAGTAGAAATACCAGGAGGATTAAGGGAGGGTGGGGGGAGAAAGGAGGAATTGATCACAAGGATCAACCTAGAACCCCTTCCCAGGGGGACAAACAATGGAAAAGTGGGTGAGGGGTGACGGAGGACAATGTAAGATATGAAAACAATAATCTGTAACTTATCAAGGGTTTGTGAGGGAGGGCAGGCGGGGGAGGGAGGGGGAAGAAATGGGGAACTGATATAGATTGTGATAAAAGATGTAAGACATCCCCCCCCAAAAATAAATTTTTTAAAAAAGCAGAGATATCTAAAAAAAAGATTTATTTCCATGAAACTCAATGTAAAATGCCCATAGTAAATCTAGACTATTGCTGGTAGTACCCATTATTGGATCTGAATGGAAAGCTTTGCGTCTTACAGATATTAAAACCTCATCAGGTTCAAAGGTTACTTTCTAATCCAAATAAAAAGAAAGCCCGCTCCTTTTTCACTGGCCCTCGGTTTCTTTTATTCCTTGAATCACCTTGGGCTCTGGTGACTCCCCTGGAAGTTCGTTTTAGACAAGGGAGAGAAAATGGACAAGGTGATCGCTGTCAGCTCTTCCAACTCCAATAACCTTTTAGTCTACTTTTAAGAGAATGTTATTTTGTAGAAAACAGTACATAGTCTTATTTAAAAACAAAAGAAAACAAAAACCATGTCTAAAATGATGTTTAGCACTGCAAACTCTAATCAGGTAGCCCTGGGTTCAAATCCCACTACTTCCAATTTCTGAGAATGTGTGAATCACAGGCCTGGTCTCACAGGCTTATCCTGAGAATTACTGAAGTACTTTACCTGGTACGTAGCCTGTGCTAATAAGTACTCAGGAAATATTAGCCAAAGGAGAGTCTATTCTCACGTGTGACTTAATATAAGAGTAAGCCACATGTTACAGCCAAGAGTGTAATTTGAAAAGAAAATGAACACAAATGTATAGGGTAATATAACCTGACTTCTGCTTCATAAATCACTCAAGAAACTTCCAGTCTCGGAGTCAAATCCAACATCCTCATGTTTGCTGACAGGCTCTGAGCGTTCCCTCCACTGCCCCACTCCTTACCGTCACCAGAGCCCGGTGACACCATGATTAAGCATTCAGTTACTAATTGAGAGGTCTGGAGTTCCAGCCTACCATCTCTCTGCTCCCCAGGAGTGATGTGGCAGTCTGCTCTCTAAGGATCTGCAGCCTGGGAAACCCTCTGGGGCATCTCAGCTCTGCCCTTCGGGGTCACTACGAGTCAGAATCAAGGGGGAAGTCCTGGCTTAACTCTCAGCTCATTTCCAAGTCTGTTGCTGTCCCCTACCACTCCTACCCTCCCAACCCTTTAGGACCACCCCCAACCCATACAACACGACTCTTTCTCCTCAGATTCCAGCTCCAGTCTCCTCCTGGGGAGAAGGGTAGCCGGGAGGGGTCCCGCCCTGGCAGTTGGATAGCAAACTGCAGCTGCCCCCACCCCTGCCCCAGCTGCCCCTCTCCCTGCTCTCTCTCTCTCTCCAGAGCACTTTGTTTTTCAGGAAATGCTTCTAACTTCTTCTGGAAGACACAAGTGCCAGTAATACCACAATCAGGTAGCATGTGCTTTTTAACGGTGCTGGTTCTAGCAATATGTATTCCACGTTAGAAGGTGTTGAATGAGAAGGAAAAGGAAACTGAGCACTGTAGCAGAGCATGAGCAGCAGCCGGGCATGCCCAGTGCACTGGTACCACAGGCACCGTGTTTGTTCCCAGCTCTGCGCCTGACCCTCGCGTGCCCGGCTGGGCCCAGCTCCCTTCGCACATCAGCAGGGCAGGCCTCCCTCGTGTTTCCAATGAGAGACTGAAGTGCAGACATGATGAGAGGAAGCTGCCTCTGGTCCAACCACAAACAGGAAAAGAACTAGGATTTCAGCCAACGTCACTCGGCAGTCAGGCCAAACCACTATGCCGAGAACAGAGGCCATGGTGGCAAATGATGCCCACACCACAAAAGCCAAGTCCACTTGGTACACAAGGGACTGCAAAACCCATTTTAGAGACTGAGAGGATTTTCCTCTTAATTACCACTATTACTAAAATCAGTTTTCAAACGAGAGATCAATTGCAGCTTAAGTGACGACATAAAGGAACCTCCAAAACGTCACGGAAACGGGATGACGAGTGAGCGCTGTGAAGTCTCACACATGCGTCCTCGTGACCTGCAGCCGTTTCCTGTTACTCGTCGAAGTTAACAATTCACATTTACCTGCAGGAACTTGAAGAACTCGTTTTTAAGCTGATCTTCATCTAGTTCGCCAAGCGTCCTCGTCACCTCCTGCAGGTAAGTACACAGGGTGACGATGGATTCCCGAGACTCAAAGAAGTTCTGCTCTTTGGATTCCTTAAACACATCAAAGTCGCTGATTGGTGGGCTGCAGGAGGAAAGCACAGCATGAAGACGGCTCAGTGACAACCGCAGTGACGCAGGCCCACAACCTTTCCTATGTGTGGATCTTACACGTGCGTCACTGGAATCCTCCCAAGATACCTGGAATTCTTGGAAAACAACCCAGGCCCCATGATTAGTGGTGGGGGACTCTAGGTAAAGAATATAAAATCTCATCAAAATTAATCTCCAAACTAGTTCTCAGTGAATTATCAAAAGTTTGCTACACAAGTATTTTACCCAAAATAACAGTAGTCATGGCGACTACGTCTGAGTTTACCTGACTTATCCACGAGTGTTTCAAGGACAAAACAAAAACACCAAAAAACACCCCACAGGTTCATGGTGGTCACTTTGGTTGAGTGAATGTTTTATTTGAGGGTATAATGTGGCAGGGTTCTAAGTAGCACCCGGATGGATATAAAGGGAGCCTTTCAGTGCAATGCCCTCACTAAGCAGAACCAAACACAGGGCACTATGAGAATATTTGGTGAATATTTAAGTGAACCCAAACTTAAGATTATTGTATATTTTATTAAGACACCTTTGATTTTTTTATGTGCAATTTTGTCTTTTGGGATTACCTTTTAATCCCAGTGTGGCGTTAACCACACGTTCACCAAAAGTATGTGTCAGAATGTTTAGTCTAGAGCAGCACGCTTCAGAAGAATCCACAACTGGGAACTACGCAGATATCCATAAAATAGTAACACAGGTAACCAGATGTTGTGATCTATACAACCACCTATTGACCTTTAAAATGGGAATTTTAGCGCACCTCACTGTGCTCATGCACAACCTGTACATAGACCGAGAGGCTGTCCTTCGAACAGAACAAGTGGACACTGTGCAGTCTGTAATCAGGAGAAGTGTGGGTCAGGGTTGTATCCTTTCACCGCTGCTTCAATCTGGGTCTGTGCAGATAATCTGGGAAGCGGAACGATAGGAAGAAGGTGGGATCCAGAGGTGAGGACGACTCCTTACCAAGCTGCTATGTGCACACAGCACAACCTGTGTGCTGACAGGGAGGAGGCCTGGAAGCACTTACTGATGAAGATCAAGACTATAGCTCTCAGTATGGATTCCACCTCAACAAACAAGAAACAGAAATCCTCATCCCTGGACTAATTAGCAACATCACGAGAAAGGAAGAAAAGACCGAAGCTGTCAACCATTTCCTTTTACGTAGATCTATCAGCAATGCTCACAGAAGCACTGGCCAAGAAAGCAAACTGATGGATCGCATTGAGCAAATCTGCTGCACAAGGCCCACTGAAGGTGTCAGAAAGCAGAGGTGTCACTCTGTGGACTCAGGTGTACCTGTCCCAAGCCAGTGTTCCAGTCATCTTACATGCATGCAAAAGCTGGACAATGAAAGTGGGAAAGTAAAGAATTGATACAAGCGACTCCTGGTGTTGGCGAAGAGGACTGAAAGTAGGGGGCACTACCAGAAGAACAAAACCAGCCTTGAAGAAGCACAGCCAGAAAGGTCCCAACAAAGGAGGATGGTGCGGCTCCACTTCATGTACTTTGGATAAGATAACAAGAACAAGCTCAAACATAGGTTTGAGGATTTGGTCGGGGCGGTGGGGGGGTGCACTGAACATTGTTTTCATCTATTCTACACAGGGGTGCTATGAGTCAGAACTGACTTGATGGCACTTAACACCATAGTCATACCGTGCAGGGCTACACAGCAATGAAAATGAATCATCCTGAGTGGCAAGGGAGAATTTCCATGCATGTCACCAACATAATGTTGAATGAAAGAAGCCAGACAAGCCTTCCCACTGTAATTGTTTTGAAACAGGCATAAGGAACACAGGTCAGGATGTGGTTATGCTTGAGGGGCAGTGAGGGTAGTGACTGGGAGGAGACAGTGGGGCCCTCTGTGTTCTAGTGGAACTTGCCCTCTTGATCCGGGCACTGGGCTACAGGGTGTTCTTGTGAAAATCACTGACCTGTGCCCCTGCTATGTGTACTGTTCACTACCTGTATATTAGACCTTCAGTCCTCTCTTTTAGAAAGTCAATCTTCTCTGTACTCTCACCTTCCAGTATCCAAAACCTATTCACATATGGCCAAAACTTAAAAGATTAATCATCTATCTAATGAAACACAGCTAGTTCTAACCTAGGGCAGCTTCACTCTGGTTTCAATCTAGCTTTGTGCCTGGCCAGTGTGAATGGTCAGTGCACTTGGCTGCTAATCGAAGACTCTCAAAGGCTTGATTGCACAGAAGGCGCCCCTGCAGCGAGATCTGGCGTCTGTGTCTCAGCTAGCCTCAATCCTTGATCCAATTCCAAAACCACTCCCATATTCTCTAAGTATCTGTTAGAGCAGCACCTCATGCCCAATATCCAATCGGCCTTGGGTGTCTAGTGCTGCTATAAAAGAAATACCTCAAGTAGAGGGCCGAAACAACAGAAATCTCTCCCTCACAGTTTAGAAGACTAGGCATCTGAACTCGGAGCACTGGCTCTAGAGCAGTGGCTCTCAACCTTCCTAATGCCGTGACCCTTAAATACAGTTCCTCATGTTGAGGTGACCCCGAACCATACAATTATGTTTGTTGCTACTTCATAACTGTAATTTTGCTACTGTTATAAATCGGGAGACCCCTGTGAAAGGGTCATTCAACCCCCAAAGGGGTCACGACGCACAGGTTGAGAACAGCTGCTCTAGGCGAAGGCTTTCCCTGTCAGCTCTAAAGGGAGGTCCGTGTCTTCCTTTTACATCTGCAGGCATCACGTCCTCTGGAGAACTACACACATCTTGGCATCAATCTGCCCCTGGGTCTAGGAGGTTGTCAGCAGAGGGACCCTGGGTCCAAAAGATATACTCCCCTCCCAGCTCTTTTTTCTTAGTGGTAGTCAGGTCTCTCAATCTCTGCTCACTTATGTAATCTCTTTTACACTCAACAGAGATTGACTCAAGAGACAGCCTAAATCTGAGGATTGCATCCCGCCTCAGTGACATAACTCCCTCAAGTCCTGCATCACAGATGTGGGGGCTAACACCTATGAAAAGCATATTGCAACACGCGGACTAACTGTGGTAGTTACATAATTCCATGTCCACTTGATAGATTGTAGGGGTGGAGTCTAGCCTGTCAATCAGGTCACAGCCTGATTGATGCTTCCTTGTGCGAGTGGCCTTCTCATGAGAACTGGGAGTTTCCTCCATGGAGGCGGGACACACATTCTCTCTCTGCTTCACATTCCTGTTGACAAGCCACCTGGAGCCACGCTGATGGCAGCCAGAGCCCTAAAGATGCGTCCACTGCCATTAGATCCACAGGACTTCCTGTCCACCAGCCTGTGATCTTCCTGCATTCGGCTCATTGCATGTGCTGAGTGAATCTGAGGAGGAATTCATGGACTAATATCAAACTTATGAACTTGATCTGTTCTGGGCTGGGATTATTGCTGCATAATTACTTCTTGATATAAAGTTCCCTTTTAGATATGAGTGCCTCTGGATTTGTTTCTCTAGTCAACCTGGACTAACACACTAATTCTATCAGATCAGAAAAGGAGCACAATTACATAATACTGGGAGTCATGACCTAACCAAATGGACACAGTTTTGTGAGATACTTAGTTTCCCAAGACCAGCCACTGAAATCCTTATGGAGCACAGTTCTACAGGGTGACCATGGATCAGAAGCCACATCAAGAGCAGCTGACAACACTGTGAGCCACCGTCTGTTGCTTGGCTGCCTTCTGTGGCCAGGTGGTGTGTGCTTTAATAGTGAGCTTTACGTTTACAGCAGGAATTCTTTAACATGTTTATTCAGCAAAAACAGTAACTACAAATTGTGATTTTTGAAATCTTGTAAAGCATACAACAGACTCAAAAGTTATGTTTATAACCCCAAATCATTCATTTACATATCAGGGCTGGACAGGGGACAGCACGAGAGGCAGAGTTTGGGAAATGTGCCTGGTCTGACCCCACACACCAGGACATCACATGGAGGGAGCGCAACAGAGCAGCGAGGGGAGCAAAGCAACCAAGTCCCCGAGGAATTCTGAAAATGGACTTCAGACTCCGAGGGCAGGGCTCGGCACTGCATCAAACCCGATCGGAAAACATTCATAAGGGTCAGCAGACAGACTAGGAATTACTCATAAGGTTTTTGGTTTTATGTCTATCTATATAAGATAGGCAGGATAAACAATCCTGAGGAGAAACGGGTTCCGGGGGACAGGGGAGAGGAGGCAGTGGGGGAAATGGAGGTGGAAACCAACAAACGCAGGGGCAAGGGAACAAGAGGTCTAAAATCAATGGCGAAGAGGGCATAGAATGTTGGGTGGGGTTCGATCAAGTGCACTGTAGGCAACAGGAAGTACAGAGACCTGAATGAAGGTTGAACATGATAGTGGAACAGGAACAAAGTAAAGGGAAATAGAGGAAAGAACTAGGAGGCAAAGGACATTTATAGGTGTATAAATACAGGCAAGTACATATGTAAATATATTTATATATAATGATAGGGACATAGATCTATGTACATATATTTGTATGTTAAGTATTAAGGTAGCACGGAAACTTGCATTCTGTGATGCTCATCTTCCTAACACGATCGTTGAAGGCAAAATAGGTGCATAAGCTAATGTGGTGAAGAAAGCTGATGGCGCCCGGCTATTAGAAGATAGAGCATCTGGGGTCTTAAAGGCTTGAAGTTAAACAAGCAGCCATCTAGCTGAGAAGCAACAAAGCCCACATGAAAGAAGCACACCAGCTTGTGTGATCATGAGGTGTCAGCAGGATCAGGTATCAGAAGACCCAGAACAAACCACCATTTTGATACGAATGAGGGGGGTTGGAGTAAAACCCATATGTAGACAATGGGATGTCCCCTCACAGAAGAGTCACAAGGAAGGGACAAGCCAGCCAGGGTGCAGTATAGCATCGAGGAAACACAATATTCCTCCAGTTCTTTAATGCTTCTCTCCCACCACTATCATGTCCCCAGTTCTATCTTTTTTTTTTTTTAATCATATTATCTTACAAATCTGGCTAGCCAGAGCAAGTACACTGCTACAGATCAGAGCTCTGGACACACAGAATCCAGGACAGATAAATCCCTCAGGATCAATAATGAAAGTACCGATACCAGGAGGGTAGGGGGAGAAAGGGGGAACCGATCACAATGATCAATGTACAACTCGCTCCCCACCTGCCCCAGGACAAACATTAGAAATGTGGGTAAAGGTAGACAGCAAACGGTGTCAAATACGAAAATAAAAATAATTTATAAACTATCAAGGGTTCACAAGGGTGGGAGGGAGGGGAAAAAGAGGAGGTGACACCAAGGGCTCAAGTAGAAATAAAATGTTTTGGAAATGATGATGGCAACATACCGTATATACTCAAGTATAAGCCAAGTTTTCCAGCATATTTTTAATGCAGTTTTTGTGGTAAAATTAGGTGCCTCAGCTCATTCCGGGCCAGCTTATACTCAAGTACATACGGTACGTACAAATGTGCTTGATACAACCGATGTATGGATTGTTATAAGAGCTGTAAGAACCCCCAATATAATAACTTATTAAAAATAAATAAATAAATAAATAAATCAGAGCTGATCTGATTGATCACTTTCAATTACCCTGTGCTATGATTGGGAAGAGATACCTGATGATTCCTAGCAAACCTGTATCATTGGAAAGGGTGAGCTAACAGGCCAATGCACCTTATCTTCTCTTCTCCCTCCATTAGAACTACCCTGACACATTAATTAGCATAAACGAGGCCATGTGGGCTATTTTGAAGCACATCTTTCATTTTCAGTGTTTTTCTAATTGACCCGATGCTCTCAAGGCAATTCTGACTCAGAGCTGCTCCAGGGCCAAGCAGGGCCACCCCACAGGTATCCAAGACTACAGCCTTCATGGAAGCAGATGGCTACATCTGGCTTCCAACAGTGGCTGCTAGCTGCTGACCTTTCACTCAGCGGCCAAGTGCTTGACCACTGTGTCACCAGGGCTCCTTTCTCGAATCTAGCTATTAAAAAAAAGAACCAAAGATGAATTAAGAGAAGACACGAAACAACAGATACAGCGACTCGCTGCTCTGATGCCGCCTCAGATCAAACTCCTTCCAACAACATCCACTGGCCTCGAGAAAGTATACTTCCCCTTATTCCACCTGGGTCTGCATGTAATTCATCCAAGGTAACGTTTTCTTGCTCACTAAGCATAACTTGTCTTCCTTTAAAAGAAAACGAAGCTATTTCATCTTTAGGACAATTTTTACTTACTTCACACTTCAGAGAGTAAATTGTAAGGATATTCTATTGGGGGAAGGAGTTGATGAGTCATTCAAACTGTTGATACAAAGTTGATGATCTGAGATATAAATCCCCCACTTAATGTACAATAAACAATTGAAAACACAATTCTTATTACTATGTTCTGAAATTGACCGTGGTGAGGACAGCACAAATCTTAATGTGAACGAATAATTAAATTATGTGGTGTATGAAATATATGCCAACAAAACTATTTAAAAAATACTACTGTTAAAATCAAAAGTTTACATGATGAAAGTACCAAATAAAAACAAAATTGTATGGCTATTCTAGATAAGAAGACAAAAAGTAAAATCCGACTCACAGTAGCCCTGTGTGGCTTTTCGGGGCTGTCTTCACTGCAGAAACAAGGTTACCCTTGTCAGGCACCCATGCTACCCGTGACAGGTGCTGAAAGGCCCAACAGCTTCATTAACCCTTGCTGAGGCAGCCCCCTGCTGGTGTGGCCACGCAGCTAAGGGTCCCACCAACCTGCCGCAGCGCCGCCTGCACAGGATGGAGACCACACACTAGGATGAAGAGTGGAGGGAAATGGCTGATGTGCTTCTAGGTTTTGATGACTTGATGGTATTGGAAGATGTCACTGAGTTTGAAATCACACCAGAAGGAAGAAGGATTAAGAACTTAGGTCAGATTTTGCTAAGGGGAAACGACATCACAATGTCGGTGTCTGAAGCAGGACCTGAACTATGAATGGATTTTCCTGACTTAGGCTAGCTTCTGTTTTGTTTTATAAAGGCAACACAGTGGATTTTTTTCAACTTTTTAAACATGAGATTCTATGATGTTAAGTTTCCCATTAAAGGAAAATGCTTTGAAGATGCATTCATTATAAATACCAATTTTTGTGTAAGGAGAAAAAGAGTAAATAGTTTCCTGTTTGAAGATGAAAATAAAGATGGTTTTGGTTTTTTAAAAAAAGCAAACATTTGCTGAACTTAAGTGAATTCAGGTGTTTACTTTTTAACTTTTCCTTTTAGAATTTCTAACTAACGTCGCATAAATTGGTGAAGGAGCGTTCAATGTGTTGGCTGGACACTCACCTCTGGATCAGGGCTTCATGAATCCTGCGGTACATGTAGCACTCAACAAACAGCCATGGTGAGTAAAACCACCGGGGCTGCCCGTTGTCCTCAGCTATAAGGCTCTGCTGGTACTCCAGGTACCGGTTCCATATGTCCGTGTCCACAAACTGCGCCACCAAGGGGAAGATTGCTTTATCTGTTTGCAGTTCATTCCGTAGTTTTGACAGAAGAGAGATGGCTTTTTTCTCGGCTTCTGTGCCTTCCTATGGAAATGGGAGAATCAGATACAGGTGAGTAATTCTAACGTGCAGGTTCTGAAACTTATTTGGCCTTCCATCCCCTTTTTAAAAAAATTACTCAACGTACCCCTGCCAATGAAAAAACTTTTGTACTGTGGCCCAGAATTCAGGATAAAACCAAACAGGATACAAAACCCAAACCCACTGCCATCTAGTCAACACTGACTCTCACAGCAAGGCCCCCTGTGGGTTTCCTAGCCTAGCCTGTAACTTTGTATGGGAGCAGAAAGCCCAGTCTTTCTCCCATAGAGCTGCTGGCGGCTTTGAACTGCCAATCCATGAGAAACACAGCCCAATGCATAACCACTACACCACCAGGGCGGCTAAGTAAAGTGTAAGTATCTGTTTTTGATGCCCTTCTGGGTCTTTATGAGCACCCCCACCAAAACACAACAATCCCGCAGTCCAAAATACATTTTATATCTGTCACAAGCTATTATAAACATTTTAGCATTCATAAACTGAAACTCAAAAAAAACACAGATCACAAATCAACATATTCCCACCTTACGAACTCTCCCCGCCCTTCCCCTTTTGTGCTCGGCTTTCTCTAACTGTAGGCAGGGGGACCATTACCACAAAGAGACCATTACCACAGTTACACCCCAAATTTCTTTTTCCTTTGTCCACACGGGACACTGGTGGCCGTGGGTTTGCCCTGGCCCCTCCTGGGTCTCTACTGAGTATAGGGAGCTGGGATGGCCTGGCAGGTGAGGTGTGAGGTATTATTTCACGTTAACAGGTCAAATGGAGGGGGCACACATGCTACAGGATTAGAATAATGGGGAAATAAAGCGGAGAGACATGTTGAAAACATTATGCAAAGGAATAAGCCAGCTGCACAAGGACAAACTGTGTGCGCCCACGTCTGTCAAACATCTAGAACAGGCACAGGCACAGAGATCCAGGTTCAGGAGTGGTTGCCAGGGGCAGGAGCAGGGGAGGCGAGCAGCTCTTGCTTAACCAGTTCTGAGTTACTGTGTGAAGTGACAACAGTTTGGAAATAAATATTGGTGAGGGCTGCACAACCCACTGAGCCTAAACGCCAACAGCTGCTGAGCTGATTCCAACTCAGGACATCCCCGAGCACTACAGGGCAGAACTGCGCTCCTCAGGCCTTCTAGGCCATGACCTTGAAGAAGTAGATCAGGCCTTCCTTCTGAGGTAACTCTGGGTGGAGTTGAAAGGCACACCTTTCAGTTACTCATCAGCTGCTCCATTGTTTGTACCACCCAGAGACTCTGCCACTGAATTTTACATGTGAAAATGGCCGATTTTCCATTATACATGTTTTACCAGGGTAAACACCACACATACGACCCTTACCTCTCCATGTTTCTCAAAAAATTCACTTTTGTGCCGATGCAATGTATCAATTACCTTCGTTAGGATCTGCGGTATTCTGTCTTTAATTGTAAGATATGCAAATGATCTAGAAAAGAGAGCCACATACAGTCTCATTACTTAGTAACATTAACACTAGAAGAGTGGTCACCTTTGAATTCCTGGGACCCCTCATTTATGGTAAAATTCCTTTCCAACAACTATCACATGGGAAAACCAGTATTATCTGACCAACGTTACCAAAAACCAAACTCACTGCCATCGAGTCAATGCCGTCTCATAGACACCCTACAGGCCAGGGTAGAACTGCCCCTGTGAGTTTCTGAGACGGTAACTCTTGACAGGAGTATAGAAAGCCCCATCTTTACCCCTCTGAGCCGCTGGTGGTTTCAAACGGCTGACCGTGTGGTTAGTAGCCTAAACTTTCCTGGTGTACCGAAGAAGTTTGTGCTTCTTCTAATCCCAGACTCCTCCGAACACCACCCACCCACTGCCAACAGGTCAATTCGATTAGGACTCAGAAAGCCGCCTCCATCTCCTGCAGAGCAGTTAGTACGGTCCAAGGCTTACCCTGTATCACCACCTCCTTAAATTCTCTCTCCCCTCCACCTCCAATAAAAAAACCTCCCTGCCATTGAGTTGATTCCAATTAAAAAGTCAGGGCAGATCTGCCCTGAATGGCTTCTGAGGCTGTACATTTTTCCAGGAGCAGAAAGTTTCATTTTTCGCCTGCGAAGCTGCTGCTGGTTTCAAACAGCTGGCCTTTGGATTAGCAACCCAAAGCATAACCCTGTCTGCTTAATAAGTCTTCCGTTTCCCATTGCATTCTTTATCAAACATTAGTTTAACAGTGTGCTAGAACTGAAAAGCACTGGGTTAGAAGTCAAAGCAGTCTTTACTCCCAGGTCTGATACTAAGTGATTTCACCTACTTCGGGAGAAACAAGACATTGGATGTAATACCACTTCATTAAAAGGGCATTAAAATAACTATCATGTCTAAGAACATGAAGAATTACAGATATTCATGACCCTGCTTTATTTCTCGATCTACACTTGAAACTTGCTTCCAGAGGGTCAATTCCAATTCATAGCAAGCCTACAGAGCAAGGTAGAATGGCCCCTGTGGGTTTCCAAGGCTGTAAACCTTGAATGGGGGTCGAAAGCCTCTTTTTTCTCACTCAGAGTGGTTTCAAACTGTTGACCTTTCAGTTAGCAGCCCAACAAATAACCCACTACATCACCAGGGCTCCGAGTCCACACTTGGTCAGTTTTAGTGTTTTGCAAGTTGTTACTGTGGCTTTCTCTACCCCTTCCAACCTACTCTGTCCCAAGTAAAAGCAATGAAGGTTACATTCTCCCTCAACCAATCAAAACATTTGTGATTTTCTCAAAGTATCAAAGCATGAAGCTGGTGATGTAAACTTGAATATACTAGTATAAAAAAAGCAAAGCTCTTCCTGATTTGAGACATACCAAAAAACACCATTTATAGATTATCATAGTTCATTTGATTTTAAAGCAGTCAAAAAATCAGGTGATGAAACTGTGGGAAAATTTTTCAATACACAGCAGAAGACGTAGGTGATGCCGTCATTTTTATGATCAAACCACCAGAGACAAGGTGAAAGCAAGAAAGTGAACACAATCGTTTTTTAAAACTGCCTCTGCTCAAACCACAAATTCTAATTTTAATTGGGATCTAAAAACGTAAGTATTTTACAACAATTGTTAAAGTAAGGGCTGAACTTTTATATAGTGCATATAAAAATTTTAAGAAAAACATTGCAATAGCAAGCACTTTTCTTACTTTGTAAGGTTTTGAATATCCAAAACCTTTCATTTTAATTTTTAAATATCATGAATTCCCCTGGAGGCCTGGTGGCATAGTGGTTAGGCTACTAGCCTCAAGGTCAGCAGTTTGAAGCCACTATCCCTTTGCACAGGAAAAAGACTAAGCCCTCTGATCCAGTAAAGCAGCAGTTCTCAACCTGTGGGTTGCGACCCCTTTGGGGGTCAAACTACCCTTTCACAGGGGTCACCTAAGACCAATGGAAAACACATAAACATTTTACAATATATAACTACATATTGTTTTGCTATTAATCATTATACTTTCATTATGTTTAATTATGCTCAATTTGTAACAAAAATGTAAGTACATCCTGCATGTATGGATTGTGATGAGTTGTACACGCCAATAAAATGATTAAAAAAAAAGAAATGATGGCAATATACAAATATGCTTGACACAATGGATGGATGGTGATAAGAGCTATATGAGGCCCCCAATAAAATGACTTTTTAAAAATACACCCTGCATATCAGACATTTACATTACGACTCATAACAGTTGCAAAATCACAAGTTATGAAGTAGCAACGAAAGTAATTTTATGGTTGGGGGTCACCACAACATGAGGAACTGTATTAAAGGGTTGTGACATTAGGAAGGTTGAGAAACCTGTGGTAAAGAGTTACAGTCTCATGACGTCCCTCACTGACCCATAGCCCTACAGGGGACAGCACCAGAGACAGTGTGTGATTTGCGCCGGATCTGATCCCGCCACACCGAGGCAAAACACTAAAGGGGTGCAACAGATCAGCAAGGTAATGGAGTGGCGAGGTCCCCAGGGAATGCTGAAGGTGGACTTTGGGGCCAAAGCGTGGTGCCCTAACAGACTGGACTGGAAAACACTCCTAAAGGCCAACAGTCCTTGAACTAACTACAAGCTTTTTTTCCCCCTGTGTTTTGTTTTATTGTCATTGGTTTGTTGTATATTGTTGCTTAGTTTTGCTCTGTCTTGTTTTTGTGCATGTTATTATCTCCATAGGTCTGTCTAAGTAAAATAGGCTGGATGAACAATCTGGAGGAGAAAACAACGGGACTGACAGTTCCTGGGGGACATGGGAGAGAGGGAGGTG